GGTCTAGGCAACACGGGGTTTTCCTCCGTGGCATCCCAACAATTACTCCATTCACACACAGAAGAAGGCAATGGCAAACCACTTCTGGATCATCTGCCAAGAACGTATATGAACAGGCCCCAGTCTGAGAAAAGGATGGAAGGATCCTGTTCATATGGACCTGTCGTCAGACAGAACACTAATAATAATAACTAAAAGCTACCTCTACTCCGAGACCATTCAGTTGATGCTACGTCAGATATTAAGCCACTAACTTAGTTCCGAGGGTGTGATATTGCGTTTGTTGGTCAGGGCTATCGGATACCTCGTGGGGCGGTGGTGGGATCCTGATAATCGGCGAAAAACAGGTAAACATTCTGCTGTTCCCCTTCGTTCACCATCGACCTTGCTTGATACCATCAGGGATTGAACCCAGTAACCTCGAGGGTAAGCCAGAGTGTAGATGTTCAGATGTCTGAGCTATGACGCTGGGATTTTGAACTCGATGTTTCGGCAGACGAGACTTGGTGATAATTGCGACCATGCATCATTACGAGTTATAATTGAGGTGTTTTTCCTATAACTACGGTCTATTAGTCACGTAGAATAAGGTCTAATCAGAACTGAAGGTTATTTCCATGAGGAAATATGACTAACTTATTTACTCTGTTAGGTTAGCGGTAAAACATTTAATAAGGCTTGTGGTGGTTGCAGGGCTGGACACAGATCGAAACGAAGATGGACTACTGTCATAAGATCATTAATGACTCTACTAGTACGTGATATTTGTACTGTTTCCTTGTCTCTTAATTCTTAGACACCACTGTATCAACTATAGTTGTTATTTATAGTCGATTTTTAGGAGAAGATGGTTGTGTAGTCAGCTGGGAAATGTCGTCGAATTTGATCTAAATTATGAACTGTATCCCTTTAGTTTAGGGCAGCGTTTCTCAACCTATGGTACGCGAGCCAATGTTGAGTGGTACGAGAACTCTAACGTTAATATTAGCATAAATAACAGTTTTCCCTGAACGAATTTGGTTAGTGGTAAATTTAATGTGTTAAATTAGACTTAGCGGTACGCCAGCGAAAAAAGGGGTGAGAACCCTTGGTTTAGGGGGTACTTGGTTAAACAACGAAAATAACTGTGGCTATTTCCCGATGAGGATTTGGAATTAATATTTTCTGAATTCATATCCTATCCGTCATCGCTTGAATATTGATGTTCCGTCCCCCTGAGAGTGATATTTGTTCCTTGTGTGTTTTGGGATATGGCATATGTGGGAATGGACCTCTGTCTCTTCGGCATTGTAACGAACCGCTTTGCAACACCTCGCGAACAGACTGTACATATTAGCATTGCCAAGATCGCAAGGAGTTTTACTTTCTATGAAAGTGCATGTAAATATATTTCAGCGCGTATTTCATACAGGAAATATATTATGAATTGGTTCATTTATAACGTCATAATAGATTCCACAAAAGAACGTCACGTGTCAATAAACTTCTGGTTGATATCTGGAGTATGCTTGAACACAGACTGATCTTACAGAGCACGCGGAGATGATGTTTTTTTTTTTTTTTAAGAAATAACTTGTCTCCACATTAATCACAGAAATTTGTTTGAAGACGTTAGTTTAAAATGATAAATATTTTCTTAGACCAAATGGAAGTGTCACGTGTATGTATTATAGGGGCAGAGCGTTTATTTTAAACATGCTAATCGTGTTAGCCTGACTAACGCTGTGAAAACAAATTATAGAAAAATCGTTGTCGTCTGAAATGGGACCTCTGAAACGTTGGTACACTTCTACCAGAATACACGGAGCTAAAACCCAGAAGACGGAAATCTTCGTAATCACCGCTGTGAGAACTTCAAATCCTACGAATACAAAGAGTCTCTGCCTTGCTTTGGTTCATTTGTAGTGCACACAGGAGAGCCAATCAGGAAAAAATGCAGACGTGAGTGAGAACAAGACAATTTACTGGCTTGTAACAAGATTTCGGGACTTAGGAATTGTGTGTGTGTGTGTTTTAAAGGAAGGCGGTGGACATCTACTGTAAGTCTTTCCTGACAAATACAAACTAAAATTAAATGAGCTAGTTTATTTTGTTATATTGATTCACCAAAACGTATAAATACTCTTGTAGTTAGAGTTGCGTTTTAAATGTAAAATTCTGCCTCCTTGAGACGATAGTAATGCTTTTGAGGTATTTTTAGGTCTTATGGGGGAAATATTTAATTACGACTGTGTTTAATATTTTAGGTTTTCCCATCTTCTTAACTTGTATATTTTTTTTTAGTATGTTTGTGTGTCTGTACTCTAAGGAATAAATTCAATGTTGTGTTTGACAATTTGAGGAACGCAAAAAGTAAACTTGTTTGCATCCCAGCAGAGAGAAGTTGTTTGAACTGAACTGAATGTTTCAGTAGAACATAAATGTCAGTTAATGTTCCAGACACCTTTTTTCAAGGTCCCTCGGAATATGCATAATTAGATTGTAGTATGTTCTTCCGCGTGTAGCAGTTCGCGACAGATTTTACTCAAGACTTTATCTCCGAATTATTCTTATTCTTTGCTACGTGAGTTATTTGCGCCAGACTTAATCTTCTCACAACAGTGAAGATATCGATATGCACTGCTGAAGATAAAGGCAGTGTGTTCCTACGAAATGTTTATATCTACATAGTTCACACGGCGTTATCAGAAAACTTGCATCGATAATTCTCTTATCACAACTTTCATGCACAAAGAGTATCTTATCTGAAGATTTCTGTCTTCTGGGTATTTGCGATGTGTAGTCTGGTCGATGTTTACCAACGTTTCAGAGGTCATACTGCCTCCGTCATCAGGGCGATGAAGACGGAAATCTTCATACTCACCGCTGTGAGAACCTCAAGTCTTACATAGTATCTTATCTTTTAATCCTAGCTTAAAAATTAAGCAGGTTATGTATTTATTTGTTTATTCATACGCATAAATGGATTTGGTTCACAGTAGGATCACAGGAACTGACTGCCCACGATTTAAGCTCCTGAACTGCTTGCGAACTCGATAACATGTAGTTCGTTGACCGCGGTGTTGTCGTAACATTGATAGTCACTGAAAAACATAAATGCAAAGCATAACTGTATCCAAGGTAAACAAGGATATGCTCGTTTCAGTAATGTCACTATGCAATATAAGAGAAAAAGTGTCTTGTGCCTGTCATTCATAAAGATAATCTTAATTTACTGCTGAGTTATGTTGCAGGCTTTAGGACGTAACTTATTTCAGCACTGTACAGTTTGAGATAGCTGAAGTTTACGAATCCGTGATTAATGCAGTTGTTGTTTGTTGGGCAAGGCCGTGGTCTAGGCATCACGGAGTTTTTCTCCGGGGGCTTCCCCGGTTTCTCCGTGGCATCCCAACAATTACTCCACTCACACACAGAAGAAGGCAATGGCAAACCACTTCTGATCATCTCTGCCAAGAATGTATATATGTATGAGCAGGTCCCTGACAACCTGAAGAGGTTGGAAGGATCCTGTTCATAATATATGGACCTGTGGTCAGACAGAACACTACAAATAAATAAAATAAAAATTATGTGTTTGCGTCCAGACCGGTTCTGGGGCCCACCCATCCTTCCCTATCCAATGCGTACCGTGGTCATTTCCCTCGGGGTTGTGTATTAGTTAAGTGATAATCAACTTTTCGGCGACGTCGCCGAATTGTGAAGTTTGCTTATTTTATATAATTAATATAATTAATTAATTATCCTTGTAGTGATATCCCTTTTACGGGAACGTCTAAATATATTTGCTACAGAGACTGTCAGTTGTTAAAATTTTGGTTTGAACGTAAAATTACTACCGATCTGGAATATCTCGGTTTGCCGAATGCGACAGAATTGGTGTTTCCCCAAATTTTAACGTAGTGACTTTTAAGGTTAAGCGATTTTTTTTAAGACTCATAGAAAAATGGGTTAAATCCAAGATGAATTGGAACCTGATTTTTGTTTTTAGTGTAGAATTTTGAACCTTGACTTTTTAAAAATATTCCGCAGAACACGAGGGAAATTAACAATTATTGCGCACGTCAGTTACAACTACAAAGCGTCTTTACGCCTTGTTTCAAAAGTTGTCGACCTTCTATTAGACGCGTTAAATAGTTTTTCGTCTCTAATAATTGCAGAGTGAGGATCAACTTGACGTCTCTTGTATCCTGGTCGTGTAATTTTCAGATCTTGACTTGTGACTGACTTCCTTGTCTCTAGACTGTAATTTTATCTGGAGTAAACACCAGTTCACTTGGATACAGGCAGATCTGTGGGTGTGTCCTGAACTAACACACGCTATTTGACTACTTAAAATCGGATTTTTATTTAGAATCAGTGTTCAAGAATGCGTTTAAAATTGGCCACACATTCACCTTAAAGAGAATTTTTCTCGTAATTTCTTATCACGATTGTTCCAACTGTTTGCCTTTTGTTGTCTCATCACTTTAATATTATCATTGCCGAACGCTGATAATGTAAGCTGGTAATTCTGATCTCTTTGTTTGCAGAAAAAAAGCAGGTATTGAAAGGTGTGTCAGGTCACTTCAACTCCGGAGAACTGACGGCGATCATGGGACCTTCTGGTGCTGGAAAATCTTCGCTGTTGCGTGTTCTAACAGGATTTATGTGAGCTTTAGAAATTTTTTTATAAATAAACGGGTGTCTTATCTGATGCTTTTAAGTTCTGTGATAATTTATCTATCACCCTTTACCCGACATACGTTATTGTGTTTCTGTCTGTCTGCAGTACGAAAGGAGTGCAAGGCAGTATCAAATACAATGGTGTTGACCTAGGAAGCAAAACGGGGAAGAAGGAGACATGTTACATCATGCAAGAAGACTGTCTTGCGCCTCTGTTCACAGTTTACGAAATAATGACAATATCCGCGAACTTAAAATTGGGGCGAAGCCTCTCTGCAAAGGCGAAGCAGTTGTTGGTAAGTATCAAGCTGATCATGTCTTAATTATCAGATATTGTTGATTCTGTTATGTTTAAATCATTGTCGAACGTCGCTGCAGAGTAATAAGCCACTCCCACTTCGTTTTCGAGAGGTTCAGATGTCAAAACTAGGCTCTGAGACGAGTTATTCTGAACAAGATTTGAAGTTCTCGCTGCATTGAACATGGCGATGTACTTCTGGATTGTGAAGCGTGTATTAGAACGACGCAGAGAAAATAAGTTTTACGTCTCATGTCCAACACAGTTTATCAGCAAGTCTTGTCGTTTTTGAGGTAAATTTTATCAAACGGAGAAATTTGTGTCACAAATTAACTATGGAAATTCTAATAACAGATAAAACGAGCGAGAATTATCAGGCTGTGCGAGTGTGTGTGTGTATTATTTAAACCTCTTTATCTCAGAGTCACTGTTTCGTGTCAGTTCTACTTATTTTTAACATCATCAGAGCGGAACACCATCCCAGAAGTCGGTATTCATACTTTTAGAACGTGAGAACCTGAAATGTCACATAAACAAACGTGGTTTGTGTTTAAGTTTGTCATTTTCACATTTTATTCACAGTGTTTCAAATGTCGAGCGATCGATATCTTCAACAATCGATTAAGAAATTGCAATTTGTTTAATCGCAGGTCGAGGCTAATCGATCGATCGATATTTGATGTCGTGCTTTTGAAATACTATGAATGCAGTTGCGTGATAAGAATTATTATTCGTTCTCGAAAGTAATAAATAAAATGACACAGTTCTCACGTGAGACGGGCAATTATTATTTCACAACTTGAAGACTTGAGTTCAGTCACTTTTAAGAGGTCAACGAGGGTTAAAGACGTACAATTACAATTAGATATCGAAGATTATGAACTACTTGTGTAGTTAGGTCAGAAGTTTTTCTCATGCTCTTTGTAACAACTAATAATCAGAGCAGATTATAAATATATCAGGCTTTATTGGGGAACAGGAAAAATATGTGGAGATAAACTTCAGGCCAAATGAGTTTTTAATATATTGGCCTCTACATTACGCTCTAGACTTAGGGTACTTTTTCGAAGAGAATAATTGTATTATGTTTAGAGTGGATGGTTTTATAATAACGTGGTCGTTAAATCCGGAAATCAGTTTCAGCACTGTTAATTTTCATAATTTATCGATGTTTGTTTAATCACATTATTTGCTACGTAATTCAACTGACCTGCCATGAATTTCTTGTACTTTGCATTAACAAATTTGCCAAAGGTAAAAAAAATGTGAAATTACTTTTACATCAAGTCTATATTTTAAACCAAGAGAGAAGATAATTTTCACAAGATTACATGTTTATATTTCTCCAGGAATGTTTCTTTGTACTCTTAATTGTTATTTTATTAGTATGGTTTGTTAAATGGAGCATTTTTAATTTTACGAATTTAATTATTCGTGTTTTTTTCCCCCGTCTAATCACAATTGTATATAAATAAAATTATAAATAAAATATTAAAATATCATTTACATATTTGGTACAACTTTTTACTACATGTTTCGGTTACATTGAACCATCTTCAGGTGTAAAGTTAAAAGTTAAAAATTATAATCTTATAAACTAAAACTTAATTACTGTTGTTGTGTAACTTCTGATGATTTGGAGGTAAACATCATCAGAAGTTACACAACAACAGTAATTAAGTTTTAGTTTATAAGATTATAATTTTTAACTTTTAACTTTACACCTGAAGATGGTTCAATGTAACCGAAACATGTAGTAAAAAGTTGTACCAAATATGTAAATGATATTTTAATATTTTATTTATAATTTTATTTATATACAATTGTGATTAGACGGGGGGAAAAACCACGAATAATTAAATTTTAATTCACAATATGACGCAATTATATCAACTGATGAATTTACGAATCTAATTTGACTTTCGTATTCAGGTAGAAGACATTCTCGACATGATGGGTTTGACTAAATGTAGAGACACGAGATGTAACAAGCTGTCTGGAGGACAAATGAAACGACTTTCCATTGCCCTGGAACTTGTCGATAATCCCCCTGTCATGTTCCTGGATGAACCAACCACGTAAGTTTAATCATTATAATAACGTAAGGCTCTATGTGGGGTATCGGGTTGTGCCGTGTCGTCTGGTGGAAGTTTTCCGACGTTTCATACATCTTCGCTGACTAATCGCCACCCTAATGATGGAGGCAGCAAGGACCTCTGAAACACCAGTAAAGTTCTACCAGACTACACGACGGCCCGGAAGACAGTCGTCTTCGTAATCATCGCCGTGAGAACTTCAAATATCCTAAAAAATATAATTTACTATGATAAAATTAATTAAACTTTACTTTATTCATAGGTTTGCAGCATTTTTTAATTAAGGGTTAACCAGTTCATCACAACTAGTTGTTTTCCTTCAGGAAATTTTCTGGATTTGTCTTTTGAAAAGAGGATGGAAATTTATATGAATTATTTTAGATATTATCGTGACTTAACTTTCTGAATGTGTTCGTGTAGTTAGAATGTATTACTGTCTCATATTTTGAATGTCCTCGACTCTGGTATTGGCCGAGAGAACGTTGAACCTGGATAGAGTTTCTTCTGGGTAATTTTTCAGTCCCTCTGGGCGGACGTGGGATAATGTCAAAAGTGGTCCATCCACGTACGGGTTCCATCGAGCCAAACTCGTTTGTGAGTGGGGTGTCACGAGCCGAGTCTGCTATGCATGCGTGGTGAAATATATCCGAGCCCGGCTCACGAGTCAGACTGGGATGGGCCGATTAACCTTGATCATAAGGGGAAATGGGGTTTAAATCTTATATTAGAGGTTAATGGCCCGAGTTTAACTCCAGGGTTAACAATTTAGCAGCAAGCCATAAGTCACTGGAATTAAAATAGGCTTTGACTGTTTTTCTTCCAATTTTTTTAAGTTTATTATTCATTGTTGTTTAATTGTTTAATTTTAACCGTCTAATCACAATAACATATTTTATTAAATATTAAAATATTATTACTACAATTAACATTTAATATTTATTATTCATTAATCGTATTATAATCTGACACTTTAGCTACCTACGCCATTCGTAAACAAGACGAAAATACAGTGGATTATATTTTGCCGTAGGGGACTGGACAGTGTAGCGTCCCTACAGTGTGCCAAGGTCTTGAAAGCGCTAGCAAGAGGTGGTCGTACTATCATTTGCACAATTCATCAGCCGTGCGCCTCCATTATGAGCTTGTTTGATCACGTGTACATCTTGCGCGATGGCCAGTGCGTGTATCAAGGTGCTAGTTACAACATGCTTCCATACCTGAGACAATTCGGATTACAGTGTCCCAAATATCACAATCCAGCCGACTTCAGTAAGTTTAAAAACTATATTTTATAGAGTTTTCTTCGAAGTTATGAGTTGCTTTAGCCCTAGGAATCATTTACGAACGTTCTTGAACCATAAGTTGTCTATCTGTTGTAGAACCCTAAAATTGAAGGGATTTTTAATTTTGTAGTGTGATAGGGTCATTCCTTTATCACGTCATTTATTTACGTAAAATAGAAGCAAGCAAAGTTTTACGTTACAAGACGTGTACTCGGGTTTCAGTGATGGAGGTTGTGTGTGGAGATTACGGCACGTATCACCCTCAGTTGATTCAGGCTGCTGAAAATAACATTTGGAAGAAATCAAGACATATACCAGGTACTCTTGTGGTTTCATTATTCTTTTATAATGAGTTTATGATTTTGTTCTGTCGTTCTGTATACTAGCTTTGTGAAGTTAATAGTAGATTACAGGAAATGGAATAGTTCTCCGATAGTAAATTTCAAGGAATTGTAATTACGTTCGTCCACTGCCAAAGTTGAATTCAATTGTAGCTTCCCAGTTGATGGTTGGATCTGCAGTAAGGAAGGTAATTATTGGGTACTTGTGGATTGTCGGGACACATCTCTTTAAAAATAAGTTAGGTTATGTTAGGGTTGGGCTAGATTAGGTTAGGGTTAGATTAGCTTAGGTTATCTTAGGTTAGGTTAGGATAGTTTAGGTTAGGGTTAGGTTTGCTTAGCTTAGCTTAGGTTAGGTTGGGGTTAGGTTAGGATAGTTTAGGTTAGGGTTAGGTTTGCTTAGCTTATCTTAGGTTAGGTTGGGGTTAGGTTATCTTAGCTTAGGTTAGGTTAGGTTGGGGTTAGGTTAAGGTGTGTGTGTGTATATAAATGACATATACTTGAAAGTTATTATATTTTATTTCAATAAATGACAAATTATTATATTTTATTTGGACATGCAAGAGATGTTGACTCCCCCGTTTTGTGTCCCGATAACCCACAAGTACCAATTATTGTTTTTATGGAGCAATACTTGTATTGGCAAATTGTGTAGCACTTGGCAGTGAGTCATGCAGCTCCAGCCAGGAGCTGGTAAGTGACAGATGACATTCGACTTTATCAGTAAATACAATGTTTATAACCGCGATCAAATATCACAAATAGGAGTTGCAAATGTGGCCACATATACATAAGTGAGCTGCGACATAAGGCACCATCGTATATGTCAGTTATATTTTTGTTAATTCTTTAAAAAATATTACGCTGTGTATTTATGAAAGAATACCCAGAGAAATGGCGACTAGAAACGTAATAACATACGATATTTAGTATTATATATGTATAATGTTTAATATCTATTGGTATTAATTTGAATTACATAATTTCAGCAGTTGAACCAGTGGAAGAGTTTGGTCAAAATAAACCAAAGGAATGTTTGGAGAAAACTGTAGTTGCTATTCAAACACCAAATGAGTATCAGAAATTCTGCATCCTACTCAAATCCTATTATATGCAGTTTTACAGAGATTGGGTAAGTGACGTTGTAACAAAATTTTGAGTTCAAGAGAGTTTACCAGCAAATAAAATTAATTTTACTTTCCGCTGTGAGTATTAATTTACTCGAAGTTGTAAATGAAGGTTGTTCTACCTGTAGAAATAAATCATCAGTTGAAATTTAAGGCTTTCTGATGATTTTTACTTATCGGCTAAGTGAATTTTATTTAAGAGCATGATATTTGTGGCCAGTTACTGTGACAAAGTCCAAGCTCGCAGATATTTCCACTTTTATTTATAATGTTATTTGTAATTTTTGATTTGATTGTTGCAGACGATGTCTCACCTGAAGGTTCTGTTGCACATCTTAGTTGGAGGGCTCTTAGGAGCATTGTTCTTAGATGGTGGCAACAATGGATCAAGAACAATCAGTAACCTCGGATATCTTTTCTGCTGTGTGGTGTATCTCAGCTATACAACAATGCTACCTACAATAATAAGATGTAAGTTCTTATCGGTGTTCGTAAAGTCCCCGTCTCTTTTGTCGAACGCAGAGCGATTTATGTTAAATAATGCAGTGGCAATGACAAAGGTTTTTTGTCCATCTTTTTCGTCTTGGTAACACAATTGTGAAGATGATAAGGCCACATGACTGAATTATTTATCATGACAGCGTCTGGATGACGTCTACATTTGAGGGTCAGAGTTGTCTGTGTCTGTTCTGAGCGAAACAGAAAATGATCCTTTGTCGGTTCTGATCCTGTGATTATTTTTACGCGTCATTTTAATTTTTATTTGATGAAAGAGTTTTTTTTTATATATATACTTTTCAGTTCCTTTGGAACGTGACATATTGGTGAAAGAAGAATTCAATAATTGGTACAAATTGAGGACGTACTTCATGGCCATCACTGTTTCTAGCATACCGATACAAGTAAGTGATACAGACGTTGCTTTTCACTCATAGATGTACATTTGGCATATTTTCATTTATTATTATTTATTACACCATGTTTCAAAAGTAGCTTTACAAGAATATAAATTTATTTAAAGGACGCGCGCAATATTTTTAAATGCACAAATTTAGCCAATCACATAGTTTCTTGTACATGCACTGTAGTACCGAAAACCACCACCGCGAGCGCACGTAAACTGTAGTACCGAAAATCGCCACCGCGAGCACTCCCGGCCAGTGTGATCAAGATGGCTACTCTCAGGTGTGCGGAGCGAGTTTGTTGTGTGTTTTGGTTTGAAGAAGCAAAGTCTGCTACACAAGTTCGAAGGAAATTTCGCACCCAGTAGGCCTACAATTTACTCGTGGCACAGGAATTTTGTTGAGACTGGATGGTCTGTGTGCCATACCAATTATGAACTTTATTGTAAATAACCAAGAACTCTTTCAAACTAATTCTGCTATACACCCTGTCAACACAAGGAATAACTCTGTCGATGAATTTCTAATGTTTACAAGTAAGTCGTAATTTATCTATTGTATATAATGGGTGGATTTATTTGTAACTTATCCCTACTTCATGTGATTCCTTTGTTTGTATTTTTGTGACATTTATATGAATTGTATTTGTATAACATGTATTGTATTATTATGACTTATTCTACATCCTATTGTCATCTGACTAAACTTATGGATCCATGGAATGTAATAAAGATGTATGTATGTATGTATGTAAAGCCGGTAGGCCACGTGTTTCTGAAGACGCCGTGCAACAGATTAGGGAAAGCTTCGCTCGAAGTCCACGCAAGTCATAAAAAGCATAAAAATCCGATTGACATAAAACTTGAAGTGTTACATTTCTATGTTATGAAATTATATGTATTTTACCTTCGTAATACTTCGAGATGATACCTCCTCCATTCCATTGAACACAAAAATGTCACCATTCTGTATTCACCTCTAATTTAATGGTGTGTTGTTCCAGCTATTGTTCTGTATGGTTCACATATCTGTGTCGTATTTCCTGTCAGGACAACCCTTGGAATGGCAGCGGTTCACCATGATGCTTTTTATGTGCTTCATGTGCGTTCTTACATCAGAGAGTTACGGTCTCTTCTTTGGAACTCTTTTCACTCCTGTCGTAAGTATGATTGATTTTTTTGGAGTGATTTTTTTTTAAAGATAAATGTTCTCACTTATTGTCTTGTAGGTCCTGACTGTCATTTCAGAAGACCTTACAAGCCTTCATCATCAGGGCAATGATTTCTGATGATTGAGGCAGTAAGTTTCAATGAAATGTCAGTCGGTACCTACCAGGCTACACAACTTAGAAGAGCCATCTTCATATTCATTGCCACAAGAAACTAAAACCTCATGAAGAAATTCTTGAGGGTTAGATGGTCATGTATTATTATTTATTTTTTATTGTTTCAGACAGGGACTTTCTGTGGGGCTCTCTGCACTGCATACATGGTCCTGTTTTGTGGTTTCCTCATCCTGTTCACGCACATGCCGGAATACTTGTATTGGTTGTCCTACACTTGTTTCTACCGATACTGTCTAGACGGAATAATCTCCTCGATATATAGCTACGATCGACCAAAACTCGTGTGTCCTGATAATGTCATATATTGTCATCTCAGTAGTCCTGAGTACATCCTAAAAGAAATGGGCGTAAGAGGAGATGATTACTGGTTCGACATCGGCATACTGATTCTGATGATCGTGTTCATAAGATTTGCAGCGTACTGCGCTTTGAAGAGAATGTTGAGTGATAAGTGAAGTTGTAAGCAGATGCGAGTGCGGCGAAACAAAATTTTGAGGTTATAGAAGAGAATGTTGAGTGATAAGTGAAGTGGTAAGCAGATGCGAGTGCGGCAAAACAAAATTTTGAGGTTATGATATCCCTGTGATGCAAGGAAGTTTTGTACGAGGACGTGCCTACTGATTTGTATGCATTCGTACAGTGATGTAGCACTATAATGAGATTCAGTACGGTGAAATTACTTTTAAAGAGTAGCAGATGATGTGTGTGTGTGTGGACTGTACTGAGGTACAGAGTGTCAAATGGTGTGATATTACGCGACAGTGAATATTTTAGTTAGAGAAGAGAATTTTGAACAAATAACTGCATAATCCTTGTGAAGGGTCTTGCATCATTGAGTTGAAAAAACATTTATTGAGAGACATAGGTCGTTGATCGTCTGTCTCAGCGAAGACATCTTCGTAAGCGGATCATAGTGTACGGAGCCGTGGGGAGAAGTTCATTCTTCATCCATCCTGAAGTTGCATGTGATATTGCGAACCACGACCCAGAAGACCAAAATCTTTATTTTGATCACTGTGAAAACCTCAAATCATGTGTAAAAGTTTTTTCTTTTTTGAAGCAGTAAAAATTTAACAAAATTCACGTACCTGTACTGTAGCTTCTGCGCGGTAATGAACATAAATTTTATTTTAAATTTAGGTAAGTTTACTTAAAATTTGTGTTCATTTTAAATTTATGAATATCATTGAATACCAGTAACGTGATTCGCAGCTGTGTACTTTCATCGGCTTGCCCTCGCTTGATTTCGACCGAGTTTATTAAACTTCGTACGCGACACGACGTGTAACTTTGGAGCATCCCGTAACCGGCATTTTGGATTCCTCGCTGGTATTGCAGGAATTCAAATGTTGCTGTTCACAGTATTTATTACGTAATATGATAAACGCGCGTTTCTGTGCGTCATACGTGACTGGACGAGTTCTCGGAATGCGGCCTTGCGACAAGATGTTCCGCCGTCTTAGAAGTACTTCTAAAACAGATAAAGCTAAGAAAGGGATGAAATAAATTATCGTCTTTGAGGTTCAGCTGATTTTTTCAACAGTAATTTGTAATGTACGAAGAAAAATAATGTACCGGAGGACCGACGGATCCATTCGTAGTAATATGTCAGTAAAGTCACTAGTTATCATGGTTTAGGGCTGTTGCAGTTTAAGTACATTTCACCACAAAAATCTTTTTAGGGTAGATTTTCCTCCCCCGCTTATGTCAGCTAAAAAAAATTTTGAAACATTTCTTTGAGTATGAAAGTTTAATTGTAAAAGTTATAAATATTTCCAAAAAAGGATAACGAGAAATTTGTGTAGGCATTTAATGAGTGCGTATGTACCGTGTAATTAGGTTGTTACTTAGTTTTGGCTATTAGGAAAATCAGGTCGTTGTTAAGGAAACGTGTTACGACGAAAGGGGTGGAGAAGATAGAACTGTCAAAACATCAGGCCAAATGGCAGCTTCTGGTATTATTCTTCTTCTACGGCTTTCCGGTCCGTGTTCGGTCCATGGCCTCCTCAATTCTCCTCTTCCATTCGGTCCTCTGTTAGGTCCGTCTGTCCCGAGGCTTTGATCAAGGTTTCAAAACATCTTCCTTTTCACGGTGTAAGGTTGTTAGCCTTGCGACCAACCCCCAACCTGGAGGACCAGGATACCTGTCTTAGTCTGACCTCTCTCCCTCGACCAATCTGGCTACGGAGGCCCTACCAGTAGCTCTTGGGGTCACTGAGGTACTCAAGCCCCAAAGTGGGGCGTCTAATGACACTTCCATTATTATTATTTTACGTTGACATTATAAAAATATGGAACATTTGCTTTACATAATTTTTGTGAGGTGGCATTACTGTCTCACTCTTGCAGACTTTTTATCTTCGGTTATTAAAAGAAATATTGGATTGTAAAGAAGTTTACAATAAAATCTTCCTCCCCACCTCCAAATCCGAGAGACGGAGAAGTACGTCTGGTACGATATTAGTGGTTATATAGCTGGCCTTGGTTCCTAGGTGCGAGTAAAAAAATCTACTTACTCCATTTTGGTTTGTTGTAGAAGAAACAGTATTTTTGATTTTGTAAGATTTGAAGCTTTTACAGCAGCTAAATGCATTTTAAGTCTTCTTGCCATGAAGTAACGGCATCGCGGTACGACTTTTCCGAGACTGTCTCTGCTTTTGCCATCGAGGTTGGTTTTCCTGGCGGTGCCGACAGATACGGTCTTCGAAACCTTGCATTATGACACCATTCCGACGTGGCTGACTACCCAAGAAGACTTAATTGCATTATTATGATTGGTTTTTTGAGGTTTTTCTATTATCGACTCTACAAGTCCGTACACTTGTCATCAATTATTATGAATATTTTCATTAATTGTAAAGAACCCATGAAAATCATTTTGGGTTATTTTACGTGTATGACGCTGTATCATATTTCAGATTTGATTAAGCTTTCGGTGAAATTCTGTAATGAATTAATTTTGGTGCGTTAGGTAGACAGGAACAGGAAGTAGTTACAGCAAGCTCGTTAAAACGCAAAGCAGAGTATTACGTCCCTGTGACGTGACCGAGTATTCAACTTTTAAAAGTGAAATAGTTTTTTTTTTTCTTCCTTCCTCGAGAATTAGTTGTTTAGTTGTGAATCATCTGTAATCATCACCGTCGACTACGGATTATGCGGTGTGACAATTTATCATTTTATATTTATATTAAATTGGTAACCCTCGCATCTTAGACCGTTCGTGTACAGAAATCGGATTTCCCAGAATTAACTGCTGTAAGAAAGCAAAAGTAGATAACGTCCAATCAGATGACGGAAAAGATTGTTTTGAACTGTAATTAATGAAAATGGATCCTATTCAACATTGATTCCATTAAAATATGCGATTGAATGATAAATAAAATATATTTTTCTGTGTACTTAAGTCTCATTTTAATTAACTGGTCTCAACATTGAAATTAATAAGCAAAGACTTGGAACTTGCCGGCCGCACAGTCTGAGGCACGGTCCTCGTGCGCCTTGCAGCTGCGACCGTGGGTTCGAGTCCCACTCGAGGCACGTTTGTCTGTGTCCGTATAGGTAGAGGCCTTGCGTCTGGCTGATCACTCATCCAAGGGGTCCTACCATGCCGTTCTTGGCATCATGTAGACTCGCTGATAGATGCTGTAGACTTATAGACTGATAAGTCTACATGGTGCCGAAGCCAAGAATAATGTCATCGTCGCAGCTGTGAAAACCTTGACGCACGTTTTATATTCCTCCAGTTTTGATGGTCCAGTGGTACGTTACTAATAACGATTTGCTGGACAGATTGAAATACGTGTTGGTCTGCAGCTGGCGTGCAGGCGTCTAAAGAAGTATTAATTTTCTGATAGCTGTCAGTGGTAATTCTCTCTCTTTCCGAACACTAGCACCGATCTGTTTTGTGTTTATTAAGTCAGTTTTATAACACTGTAGCTTTATTTAGTAAAGTGAGAGTTGAATATACAGAGTGTTACATTTGCGATCACTAAATTCTTGGACTGTGTCAGTCCAAGAAATTAGCGACCTTGAAAGTAGTTATTTCGTACCTCGGATTCTCAAGGAAACGTACTTTCTCAGAAAGCACGTGTTAAGCCATCTTGGAAGTCTACGATGGGATTTTCATGTTTGAGCTGTAAAGCAGTTTTGTAATATTTGTTTGTTATTTTATTTTGGTTTGTAGTAGAAGTAGTTGCAAATGTGTAAGAATAATTTAATAAATAAATAATATTATCCACACATAAATATTTTCTAGTAAGGTAATTTTGGGAGCCAAAAGGGGTAGTATGTGGTCTCGAGGGTACATATCCTGCTGGCAGATATGTACCATTAAAGACTCGAGAAATGCCATTCATTCCTACCAAGTCCGATGCACGCATGTCCAAGTCATGACTCCCGGGCAACGTCTTAACGGCTAAGTCTTGCAAGGGCAGACAAGCGAGTTCCCGACGCTTTCAAATTGGGACCCGCCAGCTAAGGGAGACAACCCCGACAGAAAAACATCACTCCCTCAGGATTTTTGAGGGTTGAACGTGAGGCTGACAACCTCACTCCGTAAAACAAAGATTTGTTTCGAAACTTCAAGCTAAGCCTCGGGTGAAAGATTTGAAGACGTCAAGGTTCAACTTTGAAGAAGATAATTTTAGTTACAGAGATGATACAAGAAAGAATTTCGTAATGGTGCATACAGAACTTAAAAAAAGAATCTCTAGTGTTGAGAAACGCTGCTGTCTCAAGAATTAGCAAGAGTGATGATGACTGAGGCACTTACTACCTCCATCATAAGGGTAATTGAGTAAGTAAGCATTGCACATGGTGACAGTAATCACCTCTGAAATGAGTGAGTTTCTACCAGACTACATGGCGCAACATTCAAGAAGACAGTCATCTGTTATATACCTCCTGTCTATTATTCAACTTCTTTCCCTCATAGGTCTTTGTACCGGATCGGACTCCACAGTTCATTACCCCCACCTCATTACTTTTCTTGTTTACTCTTTCATACATTTCTCCTACTTTGCTTCTCTCGTGGAAAATACAATTTCAATGCAAAGGTTTATCGTAATCCGGCTTCAAGAAAGCTACCTGGTAGTACGTGATGTGCTTGGCTTCTATAAGGTTAGACTTCTGTAGGTATCCTTTCTCTTGCGTATGGAAAAAACACGAGTGAGACGCAAACGGAAAAAAAAAAGGTGACCCACTCACAGCTGTGAGCATTCGGGTAGTTGTAACAAGAGCTCAGACCGTGAGAGAGGCAAGACATAACAAGACTGACGCAGCGAAATAGGGAAATGTGTGGTTGAATAGTGAGTTAACGTACTGAGCTTTAAGAGGGAATATTTCCCAGTAGATCTTGAACTTAATTACGTATTTATTAATTTAACGGAACCTTTATTTTCGTTAAAAAAATAATTTAAAAGTGGAACATTTGTTCACACAACCTGAAATAAAAAGGTGATTAATTTCCGTGTTTGTGAACGAAAAATCGATGCGATCATTTGCAACCTTTTCGTAAGTTGTTTTAAGGTAGTGGTTTCGCCACATAACCTAAATGTTAATAACATATTCGCATTGTGAATGTATGCATAAATAATTTAAGACAAGGATCGGTATTGAACTATAATAAAAAAAAAGCAGCAAAGAAGAGTGTGTATGCTATTTGCATAGTTAGTGTAAAAATTTAACAGAGTGCACAAATAAACACGTATTAAAATGTCGACATCAAGTTCAGATATCGATTCATCGAAAGAGGGCGGAAGTTTTGTGATCGATACCGGAAGTGGCTCTATTACAAGTAGTGATAAGAGACGCCAAGCGTCTTGCAAAAAGTTTCAAGAAGAAATCCCGTTTATGGATGAGGATTGTGAAGAATGTGGTGATGTTGACTGTCACATTCCTCGCCGTAGACCTCATGAAGTAGTCACCCGAATACCAAATCAAGTCAAAATCAAAACCTTGACTCACCTAGCTAAAAGACCAGCTATTGACATAGAATTTCAAGATCTTTCGTACTCTGTGAGGAACCCAGGACGACGAGAAGGTAAGCTTGGCAACAGAAAGCGTTTTTGTACTTAATTTTAGATGCTGTTCTGCGTATTTACAATGGGTTGCATGTTTGGTTTTTTGTGGTTATATATGTTAGTAGCACGATGTGCAAGGAATCTGCGGTAGACCGTTTAGGTGCTATCCCGGTCTCCGGGACTAGATTTGAACACAGGACCTCCAATAATACTATCGACTACGACGTTTTATGCGGGACTAGATTTGAACACAGGACCTCCCATAATACTATCGACTATGACGTTTTATTTAGGATCTTATTGTAAATTGCATGGTTATGACGTCCAATGGAAGGTCTATGTGGGTTCTACTCAGCCGAGTGACCCATTTAGACTGCATTACAACTGATTCGTTCAAGATACGTGTTTATACGATAAAATGCAGCCCCTCCTCCAATCATTTTTGGTGAGATCAAACTAACCTTGCGTGGTGGAGTTTAAGAAGGGTTGTAATATAGGTCAATCTAGTTCCACCGACGTCTAAATCACTTCTAGACTACGCAAAGTTGCTGAGTAATTGACGCATTCAAAAAGCAACTGGTTTTATACTTAAAAAAAATGTGAGTATTGTAGTCGAGGACCATTACAAGCAAAATCCATGGGGGTCAGAAGGATTTGAAGTAGCAGCAGGTAAGGAAGCACATATAAGTTGTCCCAAAAAGATATATACACATATTCAATTGATAAATTAAAAGACATTTTTAATAAAGTGAATCATTACATACGTGAGCATTGGCACGTAGTGAAATAGCTAATCTAGTGTTGGAGTTAAAAATTACCACCGTTACCTTGTGGCACTGTTGACAAGTTGTTGCTATGTATACACCTTTTGGGGTTAACCTGTACTATTCATATCATAAACATTATTTCCCAGTGACAGTACTTTGGACTTGTTACATCAGTTCTTGTGTCTGTAATGTCTTCGTTTTACACAATATATGACACATCGGAACTCATCTACACCTCTCATCCTTGGTATGTTCAAATTTACTTTTAAAATTTATTATTTTGTTTTCTATTCTCTTTATTCTTATTCATTCATTAATATTCATTTGTTCTTTAAATTATTCGCATTACAGGCCGATGTAAGAACATCAACAAAAACATTCACAAACAAAAAAGTTTATTTAAACACGACGCACATATTTAAAATAACTTCAAGTATATTAAAATGGAATCTGGAAGTGAACATCACTATTAACTGATAAAAACTATAAAAAAGTTGCATATAAGAAATTACGATTAAGTTTTAAGTTTATATAATTTTAATTTTTATACGCCTGAAGATGGTTCATTTAAGAACCGAAACATGTCGTAAGAAAAAGATGTTCTAACTGTAAATCGAATGTTTCGGTAAGGAACATCACATGATATTTTAATTGTCTTAATTTTAAATTTTAAATTGTGAATAGACGGACAAGAATAATTAATTAAATATATGAGCTTGTTTTTAACCTACCCGGAAGACAAGAGCGTAGGCAAAAGAAACGCACAGATTCACCGCGACTGCATTAGTTGAAGTTGAGTTGCAGTTTTTATGCACACCGGAACCTTCAGCTGAAGGCAACTCGGTTAAATATTCGTGTTTCATTTATCACCTGTCGTGTTATCGTCTGCACCATTGCACTAAGAGACTTTCTCTCGCATTGAAATAGAAAACGATAGCTTACATCAAGCAGACTTGTAAAACGCTAACCGGAACAAGGAAGCTTATACCTCAGACAGAGAAAGAAAGAAAAACCTGCTATTAAAAATGACGCATTTCTCTCTCTCTCTCTCTCTCTCTCTGCTGAGGTCTGTCATCCTCAGTGTATCAGAGGTTCTGTCCACTGAGCATCGCGCCCGAGGGCTTTGTGTTGGGTGCAAATCTCGACGCGGAAATCGTGTTTTTTTGTGTGTGTTTTTTCCCCGTCAGCCTCTCCAGGCAAATTCCGGTCTTTGATCTGAAGCTTTCACGGCGACTAAGTATAATTCTGGCATAGTGACTTAAATTAGGCCACGATCGCTTTCTTCCAAGTCTTTCGAAATTCATTTCCCTTTAATTATCCCACCGTTCGAGGATATGTAGTCTGATGTATTGGCAGCGTCTCGTTAAACAAATTATGAGTAAATTAAGTTATATTTCAATGATAGTGCATGCTCGAGGATCCATCGTTAAGTTGATTTAATATCTCGCCAAGATACAATTTTACACCGTGACTGGGTTTAATTGTTCATGAAGAGACTAGTGAATTAGGCAGTGTTTTGTTTGTATGCATGATTTTATATGTTTTAGATAAAAATTGAACACTGCACGGTATTCGAGGTTTTAAGACGACAACAAATCTTTGGGATTATTAAATTACGAAAAATTTATTAACCATCTGAGCGACCTCTAGCATCTGAATGAATTATTAACGTAAGGTCTCACGAGGAAAGTAGCTGAAACGGAGAAACGTCGAAGGGAAAAACAAGACGGAAATGACTAAAAGAATTATAAATTAGCTGAGAGAAAGTTAGCCTCGGAGGAATGAAAGTGAACCAAACACGTGGGTACAGTCACGCTCATTAAAACTGTCTAGGTTGTCACCTTTATGCAAAGGACCACTTTTTTTTTTTCGATTTGACTCATGTTGTCTGTTATGGACAATTCCAGCTGCACGTTCAGCGTGTGTTAACCCACACTGCGTTTGCGTAGTTAAGATGATGGTTCATTCTGTTACTTCGTCGCGTGCGTATTGAACGATCTGGTTTTTTTATTTATGTCTGTTCAGAACAGCTGTAAATCCCACAATGCATCAATCTCTGTAGTGGTGACGTGCTGTGTTTTCTTTGCGGTACGAACTGATTTAGACGTTTACGGCTTCAAAGCGTTAATCAAACTTAATTGTAGTTGGGGAAAATGTTGATGTGTTCTGAAAGAACAGGTGTCATCCTTACATCGGAATGTGGATTTACTGATAACGTTGTAAGGAGAACTAGGAAAATTGTAGTCGGGTTCCTGCTCCATCGCAAGAGAAGCTTGTGCACATATTTTTAGTTGTGATAAAAAGTGGGACAAGGCGTGTCTATATGCGTGCTTTTAAGTTTCTTAAAACTTTCTAAAGCACAAACAGCGATTAGCCAAAACACTGAAAACGTTCACTCAGACGTTAAGACTTACGACAAAAATAATCTTGCTGTTTGTTATCGTTGTAAAGGCCGAATCAGCTGAGTCTTTCTGTACTTGACATTGCGCGATGTGGCAGTTAGGTATATTGGCTGTCGTCCAAGAAAATCAGATGGTTTCGTTGCACTTATGCTTCGACGAACATGAAATAAACAAGATTTCTTCGTTATGAATCATTGTCACAGCGAAACTACGCGAATTTGTTATTTTCCTTTCGACACCGACAAAAATCCATTTCCTCGCCGCCAATAGCCAGCCGTGATCTTAGACCGGGTTTCGATTCCCGGAAGACCACAGTTTGTCTTTTCGTTACAACGTCCAGACTCTCTGGGGCCGACCCAGCGTCCTACAAAATGGTTACCGGGGAAGGGGGGGTAAAGCAACCACATCCCCGTACGTTTATATGGCATGGTGCTTAGCTAAGTTTCAGGGGCAATGTACTTAGAGAGTTTACCAACCTTTGTGATTTTTATGTCAACATAAATTCATGACCCTTAAGCTCTCGTCAGAATCACTGCTTAAGTTTTATATTATTTTATATAAGTGTATTATGTAGTTACCATAATTATTTTGTTATTTCCGATCTAGTTAATTTTTATTGATAATTGCACACACACACACACACACACACACA